ATCAATTAGGGGGGCCGGAGGTGAACTTGGTGCTGATGCATCCATTTTTAACATTCGAAAGTCAGACACGCTATTTAGTATGAAAATTTAATAAAATAAATGTAAGGATAGTTTCTACTCCTGAAGCATTGGATGCTGAAAACTCACGGTTTACAAACCGGCTAAGCTTAACATTAAATAAAGAAACTGATAAATGAAGTCTATTCAGCACGCGGTGTGCCACAAGTGACACGAGTAACGCACGGTTCGTAATCATACATTATCTATACTGAGTATTTTATATTACGTGACAAATTATCATCATTACATGATTAATATTCTTGTCACGTATTAATTAGTCTCATTTTCGTATGTTTGAGCAAGATACTGTCAAAAAACAAAGTATCGTGAAGCATTTTATCAGAAACATGGAGAAGGTGAAAAATCAATAAAGCTGTCCAGTATCAGAACACGTGGTGGAAACAAATTGTATTCTGTAGTGGATGTAGAAATTTGGTTGAAAATCAAGAAAGGATAAATGAAAAAAAAGAGATCTGTTACGCGCAAGTCAACTCGGAAAATCAGAAAAAGGATCGCGACAGGCAATGCGAGTACCTAAAAAACAGAAGTACCCAAACCACGAACTCATCAGGGATATTGAGTCAGGTCTCGACTGGAAACGCAAGGATCGTACTGAGGAGATATCGAAGAGGTTTTGATTACTAAGAAGGATCGGCTCTGCATGTTTGCGTACAAGCTTGTAGAATGGATTTTTGGCAAGAACAGTAAGTATAAATATCATGGTACTCGGTTCGGACGTTAACACTAATGACGCTGAATCCGGTTAGCTTGCCGAGGACCTATTATCGATCGTTACTTTCTTTTCGGCAAGACACAGTGGACTCGGGATCAACCGAGAACCGAAATCGACGAAGAGAGATTGAAACACGAAAGATACTGATCTACCCAATGCCCGAAGAAAAAGAACTTGAGAAAGTAGATGGGAACTGTAAGATGGACAACAAGGTTATTGAGATGGTGAATGACGATGGAATCACCGACATGAGCGCCATAAGAAAGCATTACCTGAATGATGAGTGCCTTAAAACTGAAGAATTCCTCCGGATAAAGAAACCCCTAAGGAAGTATGTTCGTACGCGATTCGATAATTGATGAACGCATACAAAACAAACAAGGAGTTACATGGAGAAAATCTTCGAATGAAGTATCATCGAAGAAGGATCGAAGAAGGATCGAACATAAACCATCTCGATTCTTGCTAGGGATTGGAAGGGAATATGCGTTCCTAAAGAATATTATCACCTCAGAACGACACCAGATATAATAATACGTATAACTATTAATCACCTAGGACATTTTTACTTGTGTGTTTCTGTTTTTTTGGATACCATCGATAACCAAAATGATGTTTGGGGAAAGGCAATCTCGATCGATCCAGGTGTTTGCACGTTTGTGACCCTGATGGTTAATTAATTGAGTGGGGTAACGATGATTTTAGTAAATATTCAAATTATCCATGAAATATGACAAATTACAGAGTGACAAAGTCTTGCTTTGGGAAAATAAACAAGAAATGATATTTCGATAAAGAAAAAAAATGCTACGAATTATACGAGTCCGTAATTTAATCGACGAGTGCCATCATCAGCTGACCCATTGGTTTATGAGATTATTCTTTTACCTAAGTTCGAATATTCGCATTTCAGGCTTCGAATGTTTTTACATCATAAATCGACATTGAATGTACCGAAGAGTGTACATTAAAGACGTGTAGGAATTGTGGATTTATAAAAATGAATTCGGTGGATCAAGCATGACGTGCAAGATGGAGATGGATCGCGATGTGAATGGTGCCAGTAATATCTTGCTCAAACATTTAACGGAGGGTCAGGTTTTGACCTTACTTTGGGGCTTGAACCTATATGGTATAAGATATGCATAGTAAAGATTAACATTATTTATTTACATTGAATTTAATTTCAAGAGCTGACGGAATGAGAAAATTGGACTAAAACCCTGCGTCAATAAATGCACAAGATTGGCTAACACCTTACGAAAAAGAATTATATACGTATATAAATTAATCTTTTATTAAGTTAGCTCGTGCTAATAAAAATTATCAAGAAAGCAAACATTTGGTTAAAAAGTAAAAAAAAGAGAAATTTATACAAATATTAAAATATTTATAAAATATTAAATTCTTTATAAAATATTAAATTCTTTTTATAGACAAAACATTTTTTTTAAGTATATGTATACCTGTAGATTGTTATATTAATTATTTTTTTTTTTTATAATTATTATATAGAATATGAATATATTAATTAATTGATTTTAATTGGTTTAATATGTACTGTATACATAAGATTAGTTAAGTTATTGTAAACAATTAATTTTAGAAATTTTTTTTTAAATGAACACATCATATATGGTAAAGCACAAACAAAAAAAATTATTATTTAAATTACAGAAAAAAATGTATTTTTTTTTTTTGTTAACATCAATTTTTTTAGAATTTGATTACAAAACTTGATTTGAAAATTTGATGTTAAAGATCAAACAGTTTTACATTATGCTAAATATATGTTAACATAATTTCATTATATAAATATCAATGATATGTAGTATACATATGAATTGTATTAATAAAAATGGTTGATAATAAAACAACTATGCTTTTGAGGATTTACTATAAATCTCTTTTTTTTATTAATATTTTCAGATATTGCACATACTTGCCAGTTTATTTACACAAGTTTAATCTTGATCGAATGACTTTTTCGGGGCGAATAATCTCTTTGCCAAAACCAATTATTTTGACCAAACAACAGTTCCGGATCTATTGTTCTACATCAAAGTAACTACACTAACGTCTGTTCATGAATAAAGATATTGCTAAATCAAAACGAATGACTATAGTTAACTATGCATAATGTGAAATATAAAAGTAGCTTCGTTATTCTCAGTTAAGCCAACGATTAAAGACTACACGCTGGTTTAGATCCGCCTCTTGAACGAAATGAAAGCACTAAGACTAAGATGTACCATCCACTCCAACTTGTCATGACTCATTAATAATGCTAAAACTCACTTCTTATACCTTGCGTAAATCCCAAATGATATACTCTTATTTCATCTTAAGATCGTCTAAAAATCAAATACAACATCAAGCATCAATTGAATAGGTTTTGAGCTTGGTTATTTTTTTTTTTAATTTCAGAGCTTGGATAAATACTTATTTCATTATTGGTTCTTCTGAAATCTAAAGTGAAAACAACCTCTTTTGCTAACCATGATTCCATATACGTTTTGCTTTTAAATTCGTCTTGATTGCTTTGGCTGTTGGAACGAGAAGGTAATAATTTTACTAGTCAAATAAAATTCATAAACCACGTATAGGTCCATGGAACTTTCTCAACGAAGAGGCATCATAAGTGCGTTCAAAAATATCTTTGATGTTCTCTCGACACGCGTCTATGTTGAAAACAGATTGCCCGTAATTTTAGACGCGACGCGTAAAGTGTGAAAAAGTATCGAGTGATTTGTACACAACTTTTTTTACCTTAAGTTATGATCACATGATTCAATCATAATTAGTGATAAAAAGTTGCTGATTTGATCATTGGAAAAAAAACCCCCTCCGAAAATCAGGAAACCTCTTCACATTTTAAAAGGTAAAATCATCTTTGACTATTTATTGTACGAATGTCGCGTTGTTTACAATGACGAAGAAATTGTTGGCACCAGTCTGACCATTCATGACAGAATGAATAAAGAATGTTTTACTATATACGCATTTAAAAGCATTCCTGAGTTACAAAACGCCTATAGTGTTTCCTTAATAAAGTTGTCGGCTTTATTCAAGTTCATTAAAAGATGCTTCTGTTTTATGGTAATTAGGAACTCGTGGGCCTTTGATAAAATACAAAAAAAATGGTCGCCCAGGAACGCGAGTTACCCATTTCAGAAACAACGATTATTGTTCTGCTTGTATTCCTTTTGGTTTTCTTTCGAGGATTCAGCGTGTTCATACAGAAACGTGCTATCACCGTGGGATTGAAGAAGAATGTGACGATCGTTGTGATGGGTGATATCGGTCGGTCTCCAAGGATGCAATATCATGCTTTGAGTTTTGCGCAAAATGGATGGACCGTAGATTTTGTAGGATACGATGGTAATCTTTATTTCGTCATCGGTCGATGTAATATTGAATACAAATAGTAACTCTAAATGACTTCTCTAGGTGTCAAACCATTGGATTCCATCATGAATAACCCTCTGATCAAAATTCATCACATATCCCATCTGTGGCGATTTCCAGACAATTTTCCAAAGTGGTTGTTTATTCTGTGTACTCCAATCAAAGTGTACCTTCAGATATTGTCATTATACTGGACTTTATTTATGAAGACGAGTAGACCAGATGTTATGCTTGTTCAGGTGTGTTACGATCTCTTGAATGATGTTAATTGTTTGTAAAATCCATATGGCTTCATCTAATTTCGAGTTACTAGAATCCACCTTCAATACCGACATTGATGATCACGCAATTTGTTTGTTGGGTACGGCAAACCAATCTGATAATTGATTGGCACAATTTCGGATACACCATCCTCGGACTTCGATTGGGAAAGGATAGTCTAATTGTTAAGTTTGCAAAATGGTTCGTTATAGTTCTGTCAATTTTAATGTCTCTAATCGTAACTTGAGAGTCGTTAATGATTTGATATTTACAGGTACGAGAAAATATATGGAGGCAGAGCAGGTGCACACTTGACCGTGACCTCGAAAATGCATCGTGAATTGATGTATAATTGGGAGGTTCAGTAAGCAATATGCATAAAAATGTTACTTTTTTTTTCGTACTTTGCAAAGAAAGTAATTTTCCAATTTTTCGAAATAATATATTAGAGGACCCATTGTCACATTGTATGATCGGCCGCCGACAAATTTCAAAAGGTTAGAATTAGAGGAAATTCACGAGGTTTGGAATTTTCTTTAATCGATCGATCGATCGGTCAATCAACCGGTATCTTATTTTATCTGGATTATCTCACATCCAGTTTCTCACCCGGTTAAATTTGGAAAAAATTGTTTCGGAGCAAACAATCAACTCACATTTTCTTCCGTCATCGACATCGACATCGACATTGCTAACAAGCAAAACTTCACCAACCAATCCGGCGAAATACCGTGATGATCGTCCCATATTGATAGTTAGCAGCACTAGTTGGACTGCTGATGAAGATTTTTCGATGTTATTGCAGGCCGCACAAATATGCGATCAATTTGCGGAGCTGTGTTCTAAACAGGATTCAAACAAGAAATTTCCAAAGTTACTTTTTGTCATCACCGGCGAAGGACCCCTGAAGAGTAAATATGTAGAGGAGATAAGTAAAATGTCGAT